GATCGGCCTGATTTTAAAAAACCACACGGGCTACCGGATGGTCAAAATGCCTTGTGTTAACTCGCCAAAGCGAAGTTGCCGAAAAAGAAGAAGATAGGAAAGTCAGAAGGATAGCAATGTGTGTAGTGTGTGGGCCAGTGTTGATGTTTGGGTGAGGGGAGGATGGGGAAGGATGGGATGGGGGATGGGGATGGGGATGAGAGGGGTGAACAAGCAAGCAAGTCACCTCCTTACCCTCTTGATGGGATGGGGCTCGAAGTTACTGCAAGCAAGTTTCCTCTCGGCTCTGGTGAAGAACTACTCAGGATAACTCAAGAAAAATCTCGAGTAACAGTGTTCAGCGTTGCTCAGCTGAAGAGCAGGAACGACGACGTCTTCTCTCCACGGTGGCTGGGCTGCTTCTCTCTATTTTCGTATTTTCTGATGGATGTGGTACTGGAAAACCTCGTGCATCAACATGTTAGAGACACAACCAGAGAGAGAGGTGAGGATGATCCAGCAAGACTGGACCTTGTATTCACCTTGAGTACTTCGGACATCGAGGGTATCATGTATGAAAGGCCCCTGGGAGCTAGTGATCATGTGGTTCAATGCTTTGACTACATAGTTGAGCTCCAAGTGGAGAGAGTAGCAGGAATAGGACGGGAAAAACCAAACTACAAAAGGGGGAACTACTCAGGCATGAGGAACTTTCTGCAAGACATTCAGTAGGAGAGGGAACTGACAGGAAAACCAGTACAAGAAATGGACTATGTGACAACAAAATGCAAGGAGGCAGAGGAAAGGTTTGTTCCCAAGGGAAACAGAAATAATGGGAAGAACAGAACGAGTCCTTGGTTCACCCAAAGGTGTAGGGAGGCAAAAACTGTGTACTAGAGAATGGAAAAGGTACAAAAGACAAAACTCAGGAAAATAAAGATTAGCCGAAGAGCCAGAAACGAATATGCACAGATAAGAAGGGAGGCTCAGCGACAATATGAAAATGACATAACATCGAAAGTCAAGTCTGACCCGAAGCTGTTATATAGCCACATCAGGAGGAAAACAACAGTCAAGGACCAGGTAATCAGACTGAGGAAGAGTGATGAGTTCACAAGAAACGACCGAGAGGTATGTGAGGAGCTCAACACGAGATTTAAAGAAGTATTTACAGTGGAAACCAGTAGGACTCCAGGAAATCAGAACGGGGGAACACCAACAAGTGCTGGATGAGGTACACATAACCAAGGAGGAGGTGAAGAAGCTGCTATGTGAACTTGACACCTCAAAGGCAGTGGGACCAGACATCTCTCCGTGGGTCCTTAGAGAGGGAGCAGAGATGCTGTGTGTGCCATTAACAAAGATCTTCAACACATCCATTGAAACTGGGCAACTCCCTGAGGTATGGAAGATGGCAAATGTAGTCCAAATTTTTAAAAAGGGAGACAGACATGAGGCATTAAACTACATACCTGTATCACTAACGTGTATAGTATGCAAAGTCATGGAGAAGATCATCAGGCGGAGAGTGGTGGAGCATCTGGAAAGAAACAAGTGTATAATTGACAACCAGCACGGTTTCAGGGAAGGAAAATCCTGTGTCACAAACCTACTGGAGTTTTATGACAAGGTGACAGAAGACAAGACAAGAGAGAGAAGGGTGGATCGACTGCATTTTTTTTGGACTGCAAGAAGGCCTTCGACACAGTTCCTCACAAGAGGTTACTGCAAAAGCTAGAGGATCAGGCACACATAACAGGAAAGGCACTACAGTGGATCAGAGAATACCTGACAGGGAGGCAACAACGAGTCATGGTACGTGACGAGGTGTCAGAGTGGGCGCCTGTGACAAGCGGGGTTCCACAGGGGTCAGTCCTAGGACCTGTGCTGTTTTTGGTATATGTGAATGACATAACGGAAGGGATAGACTCAGAAGTGTCCTTGTTTGCAGATGATGTGAAGTTAATGAGAAGAATCAAATTGGACGAGGATCAGGCAGGACTACAAAGAGACTTGGACAGGCTACAAGCCTGGTCCAGCATCTGGCTCCTTGAGTTTAACCCTGCTAAATGCAAAGTCATGAAGATTGGGGAAGGGCAAAGAAGACCGCAAACACAATATAGTCTAGATGGCCAAAGACTGCAAACCTCACTCAAGGAAAAAGATCTGGGGGTGAGTATAACACCGAGCTTATTTCCTGAGGCGCACCTCAATCAGATAACTGCTGTAGCATACGGGCGTCTGGCAAACCTACGGATAGTGTTCCGATACCTCAGTAAGGAATCGTTCAAGACTCTGTATACCATTTACGTCAGGCCCATACTGGAGTATGCAGCACCAGTTTGGAACCCACACCTGGTCAAGCACGTCAAGAAATTAGAGAAAGTACAAAGGTTTGCAACGAGAATAGTCCCAGAGCTAAGGGGATTGTCCTACGAAGAAAGGTTGAGGGAAATCGGCCTGACGACACTGGAGGACAGGAGGGTCAGGGGAGATATGATAACGACATATAAAATACTGTGCGGAATAGACAAGGTGGACAAAGACGGGATGTTCCAGAGATGGGACACAGAAACGAGAGGTCACAATTGGAAGTTGAAGACTCAGATGAATCAAAAGAATGTTAGGAAGTATTTCTTCAGTCATAGAGTAATCAGGCAGTGGAATAGCCTAGAAAGTGACGTAGTGGAGGCGGTAACCATACATAGTTTTAAGGCGAGGTATGATAAAGTTCATGGAGCAGGGAGAAAGAGGACCTAGTAGCAATCAGTTTAGAGGCGGGGCCAGGAGCCACGACTCGACCCCTGCAACCACAAACAGGCGAGTACACACACACACACACACACACACACACACACACACACACACACACACACACACACACACACACACACACACACCTATGATAAAGCTCATGGAGCAGGGAGGGGGGACACGGTAGCGGTCAGTGAAGAGGCGGGGCCAGGAGCCGAGTCTCGACCCCTGCAACCACAAATAGGTGAATACACACGCACTCGTATACAACAGGCCTAGTGTCTAATCGACATGTGCCTAGTCTCGCAAATTATTTACGTTGATGGTTCTGTTCACCAATCCACTGGTGCAGCTGGTAGTGCTGCTGTTGTCGTACAGTGTGATGGCTCTCTTAAAGAAATTGGAGCACGCATCAATAATTGGGCCTCTACCCTTCAGACAGAACTGTTTGCCATACTCTTTGCACTGAAATGCATCTATGTATCAAAGATTGACAGTTTAATTGTAACTGATTCTGTCATCCATAAATGCTCTCAACTCATTAAGCATAAATTGTGGCATGCTTGTGTCAGAAGCCAGACACAGGTATGGTAGGATTGTGGACAGTGGAGTCAGAGTGCACATGCTGTGGATTCCATCTCACATTGGTCTTCAGATGCATGATAGAACTGATAAATTGGCTAAGCTGTATGCTTTCAAAGAGGGAGTAGATTACAATCTTGGCTTGTCAGGTAGTAGTTTGAGAACAATAATACGAAAAGAACTTCAGCTGAATTTTATGGACTTAAGGCTCAGGGAGATTGACACCAGTGAGTCCATCTATCATCATTCTATCATGCAGGAGGAGCCACATGTCTATGGTGCATCCAACAAAATAAGCAGACTCTTGGATGTCACTACCGCCCGACTCCGGCTGGGTTACAAGTATCTTTGGCAGGTTAAATCACCACCACCAGATGTAGACCAAACGAAATGTAAACTTTGCCAGATGGATTATTGTCACACCCTGCGTCATTATGTACTGGAGTGCGATAAAATTAATGAATTTAGAAACAACTCACTCAGAAGTGTTCAAGAAATGGCTAAGTATTTTATCCACAGTGGTATATTACAGACCATTTTGGAGAAATACCCTGACTTTGCTAGCTGTAAATAAAGCATTACCACATGTGTGTGTGTGTGTGTGTGTGTGTGTGTGTGTGTGTGTGTGTGTGTGTTGTGTGTGTGTGTGTGTGTGTGTGTGTGTGTGTGTGTGTGTGTTGTGTGTGGTGTGTGTTGTGTTGTCATGTGTGTGTGTGTGTGTGTGTGTGTGGTGTGTGTGTGTGTGTGTGTGTTGTGTTGATGAGAGAGAGAGTAAGAGAGAGAGACTCAGCAATCAACATTTGCACCAATAACTCTCTACAGTTGTGACCGGGTGTGGAAGTGTGAATTGCTCATTACTCTAAAATTTGTTCATGATTGCAGCCATGTATAAACGTAAGTAACCATTCTTACAGTATTCATTACCTTGTACCTAGTTCAGCCATCAAAACTTTGGAGCCCGGTCCCTGGACCCATTGTGTACCTCTGTAATCTGTAAATACCTTTTTAACTTGTCATGATTGTGACATGACCTACCTGGAGTTCATTACCTTTGTAAATTGTGAGTTCATTACCTCTGTAACTTGCTCAGCTATCAAAACTTTGAGGCCCAGTCCCTGGACCCATTATGTACCTCTGTAATCTTTTGACTACCGCCCACAGGATGGGTATGGGGTGCATAAACATATTAAACTAAACTAGGACAAAATGGTAACACACACACACACACACACACACACACACACACACACACACACACACACACACACACACACACACACGAGCTATGATTCTTCCCCCTGAGACCACAATTGAGTATACACTATTACGTATAACAATTATAATAGTCTAAATTTGTGTACCGCATGTGTACCTGTACCTAAATAAATTTTCATTCTTTTAATGTTAGCTCACGGGTGAAGTGCAGCTTTGATATATGCAGTAGATAGACTTTAAACCTAACTAGACCTGTTCTGAAAATTAGTGACGAGAGTTTACCTTGCCGCCAAATTTTTATAGATTGAGGTTCGTTGTTGTCACTTTAAACGTGTTAGGGATAGCGAAATCACCGGAGGATAATTTTTTAAATATAGCATCCTGTACTGACGGTTTTAGCAAGGAAATATTGGATTTATTGAGAGTGTTTTTGAAAGATTTAATGAAACTGTTGTAATCATGCTGATAAGTGTCCTCCCACTTTCAGAGGTTTCATAAAATATCGTGGAAGATGCTGTGGACGATTGACAAGGTTGTGAGATTAATGTTCTGGGGAGGAGTTAGTGCACTGCTGGCCACAGTGCTGAGTGTCCTGGGCATAATGTCCTGCGTGCTGGCCTTCACTACTCTCTGGCTCTTCACTGCTTCCATGTACATGTACACTGCTAACATGAAGGTCAGTCGATTCCTCTACTTTTAACTCTAGACAATAATTTGGACAAAGGTTATGCCAAAATAATTTTTCTAGGGTTCAGTGAAATTTTTTTAGGTGCTTCTAGTTTTTGTCCATGAATTCGTCTCTACCCCGAAACAGTTAGCCCAAATATATAGTATACATCAATGAAATCACGAAACAAGTGATTTAAAATCATTTACCAAACTGCGGCAGGCCAGGACTCGACCCTACGAACCTTGTACCGCTCCAGAGACAGCACAATGCACGCATCACCTTATGGATCAGTGGTGTAGTGGTAAGGTGATGCGTGCATTGTGCTGTCTCTGGAGGCAGTACAAGGTTCGTAGGGTCGAGTCCTGGCCTGCCGCAGTTTGGTATATAAAGTGTATGTATTTTTAAGTTCTAACTTTTCAGTAATTGCTGCTGACTATTACTGTGGCTACTTCAGGAGCCGGTGGTGGGGAAGGCGGTGGTGGTGACAGGATGCGACTCTGGTTTCGGCAACACCTTGGCCCTGCACCTGGACAAACTGGTTAGTGACTATACTAAATGTATATCAAGACAGGATTTTGCATCTACACAATCAAAAATAACTAAATACCAAGTATATTATGACCTGTCAAAGCGCCCTAGCATTTAGAATGTCTTTGAGTCATTCGACAAGTGAAGATAATCCTAGTCCAATTTACCAATTCACATTTGGAAAATTAACTCGTTACTATTAACAATGAACAAGAGCTTGCAAATAAGTCTTTACTTTGCTTTCTTATAACTATTAGGTTGACACAGCAAAGGTCCAGGGAAAGTGAAACTTGTTAGTACCACGCAAGCTTATTACATTCTTGCACTCTTGTATTATTGGGCCCATATATACCTGTTATCTTTGTCTGCCGTGTACTGCATGGGTATGTATGAGCGGAATTGAAAACTATAAGATAGATTTTCTATTTCAGTAGGATGAAAGAACCTGACAGGAAATGCTGTAGGAATAAAGTAGGTATGTTTCCTAATTACATCTTAGTGTTCCTAACAAATAGAACAGTAGTAGTAAACAGAGTAAAGTCTGAGGCGACAACGGTGAAAAGTTCCAGGCGGACATCAACCAAATCTTTAAAGGGTTGCAGAAAACAATATGAACTTCAATGATGAGAAATTTAAATTACTCCGATATGGAAAGTGAGAGAAAATTAAGACTATCTGATTATAAAACCAATTCCAACTACACAATAGATGCCAGAACAATTTCTGACAATTGTGAACGAGTTCATCTAATTAAAATATATGAAAATTGCTTGACAAATAAAATTTAAATAATGAATTGGGGAAGGGTACAGTTGTGTAATTTGGGTGGGCTCTATTGTTTAAACAAGGGTGTGTGGCTGCTATTGTTTCCTTAATCCTTCTTGATCTGCTAGGTCACGTGTTGAAGCGTCTTTAAGTTATGCCCCATCAGATGTAATGTATTGCCGCTAGGATAGCTCATGCAGCATCTGATATGCTGTAAAATGGAGAATGTCATTATAGCCTTAAAAATGGTTAAGTTTTAAACTACCCTCTGCTTCGTCTATGTTAATCTCTGGTGATGCCTTAGACTTAGTCTATGGCTCCAACGTGTACTGATATACGGAAGAAATCAGTATGGAAAATAATACCAGTGTACTGGAATGTATTAACTTTGTTTTATAATCGAGAATATTTTCCATAATATTAAAGGTAATATTTTTAACAAAAGAACAGTGTTGTCAGGCGAACAATTTAAATGTATGTTGGACAAATGTATGTGTGCGGGACCTATTTATGTGAGGTGTCAACTTCTTTGAAGTGTTACCTCAGGGTTTAACATAAAATGTGCTGCTCTTGCCTCATCTTTGAGGACTTATGTCAAACTTCAGGTGTTCAACGCCCCTCCAGAGAATCTCCAGAGTCGTTTCGGCACTCTGGCTACTACCTGAGTGCTAGGAATGGCTCAAATGTAGTTGAGACTGTCCTCGTCGTACGGCTGCCCCCTCCATAGGTCTGTAAACGGTACATCACTTGTACATGCTCCAACACTCCTTCAGGAGCCACTGCCGGGTCACCACATAAAGACCCAGGCCAGGACCCGTCCTGGCAAACCTACATGAATATGCCTGGTCTCCGTATTTTCACTGGTATTATTTTCGTGTTGTAAGCATAAAAAAATTTCGGACCTTACCGGGGCAGGGTGGCAATGGAATTTGTCCTGTCTAGGCTGCCCTCAAGTTTGATTTTTAACATTAAAATTTAAAATCCGGGTTTTAACCATTAAAAAGGCGCGATTTCTGGAAAACCGTAATTACTCAATATACCTTGAAAAAAAATCGCCATTCAAAGGGTCGTGAAACATATTTTTAAATTTTATTTCTAGCAGATAAACATTAAAAAGGTTTAATTAACGAAGTTTAAACATTAAGGCTCAGGGTGGACGGTTTTTTAATGATTCCCCAAAAGGGGCACTTTTTTTACTAAACAATGACTTTCATGAATGGCCTTTTAAAAAGGAACATCCCCCATTTTAAATGTTAGGGGTTAAAATTTTGGGGTTTTTTAAATACCTTTTAAAAATCAAAAAAGGGGATTTGAATTTCAAATTTTTTTTTTCAGAACAAAGGGCGCCCTTTTTTTAAGTGTTTTTGGAAAGTTTTTGGAAACGACTCCAGGGCATTTTTACATTGGTGAAAGGAAACAAGTGTTATTGATTTCAAATTTTTTTGAAATAAGTTGTAGTATATCAAGTCGTGTGTGTAAAGTTTTGGATGATGCAAGTCTGTTTGTGAGATGCAAGTTGTATGTGATGATGCAAGTCTGTATGTGATAAAGAAAATCTGTGTGTGTGCAGTCTGTATTGTGTGCAAGTCTGTAGTGAGATAAAGTCGTATGTGATGATGAAAGTCTGTTTGTATGATGCAGTCTGTATGTGATGTTGGCAAGTCTGTAGTGATGATGCAAGTCTGTGTGTGATGAATTTGTATGTGTGTGCAAGTCGTTGTGATGATGAAATTTGTTTTGATATGAAAAGGGTTTTATGTGTTGATGCACGTCTGTTGTAGGGAGATAGATTTCAGGTGAAGGCTATGCCGATTTTTTTAAAACTTTGTTTTGTGGAAAATTTTACAAATTTTCCTAAATGTGGGACATTAAATGAAAAATATTATAGCGTTTTAAAAAAGTGATGATATTTGGCCCCCTTCGAGAAATTTCGGAGGGGGAGGTAGAAAGCGGGGGGGAGTGACGCTGCGGGGGGCACCATTTGTAATTTGTGGACACGGTTTCCGTGGGAGATTCGCTAAAAAAACCCGGCCTCTTCCGACCCAAAAATTGGGGGTTTTTTGGCCTGAATTTGTAATTGGAATTTGGGGTTAAGTCTCTTGCTGAAGAAGGGACGGGAAATTTTGCAGGACCTCAAAAATTACTTGTGGATGGCGGAGATAAGGGAAGTACACCTTTAAACCTTTACATTTAATCTCTAGCGGGCTAAGTGGTCTAGGGTCGGGCAGGTGTTGTGGGTGATCCATCTACAGTAATTTTTGGTAAGTGGTAAAACGAATTTTTTTTGTGTATCCAACTCCCCAATTATACATCCACAACTTCAATTTACCAGATTAGCGGGTTTTAAAATTTTTAAAAATTATTAATTTAATGTTAGGTCTAGCTTTTTTTGGCGAGTGGTGAAGGGGGGCTCGGGGGAGTTACAGTTCGGCGAACTATGGACCAAGTCCACAAGTCCCATTTATTTCCCCAAATTACTTGCACGTAAAATTCAGGTAAAAAACCCGAAAAAACCTCATGCGGTAATTTCTCGCAAAAAAATTCACAATAATTTTGTAAAAAGAGATTGGGATGTTGAAGATCAATCTAAAAGGCTAATTGTGAAGACTGATGTCAAGTTGAGACTTGGGACTGCGATGTGTCAACCATTCATGTTCCTTCCTCTTTCAGGTTTCAAGGTTTTTGCTGCATGCCCGCTGCGAAGGGAAGGCGCCAGCACCTGCGGCGGGAAAGGGTCAATTAACCTTCATGTCCCGCAGTGGTGTACCAAACAAAAATCAGGTGGCAAAGTGCTGAAGAGGTTAAAAGATTGCTGCTAAGGGTGTGAGTCTCTAAATACAAAAAGTTTTAGGGGATTTTTAGTTGATATTTACTTAGGAAATTACCCCAAGTGTTTTTCTTTTTTACAATTTTAGTAAATAGTATGTGGGGGATTTCCAAGAACACTATCTGTAATTAATATTCCACCACATCGGGTGTGCGTGGATTTAAAACACAGAATTTAAATTGTAACTTTTCTAAAGTTGATTTATCCTGGAGAATGTGGGATTGGGGACCCCTGGGGGGCGCAAAAAAAATGTCCCTCCAGTGCCCATCCTCGGCCGCCCCCCAGCTCGGGGACCTGGATTAAGAACATATGGTTCCTGTAATTATGGAAATTTCATCGTAAAACTATTTAGTTTATAATTATGAAGAATTTTAAATGGATTGAAGCAATTTTTTTTTTTTTCTACTAGTTTCAAAATTATTATTTTTTGTTAGGGACATAAATTTTACTTACCAATTTATTAAATTGGTGTATATCAAAACCCCTTCCCTAGGAAGTTGAAAGAAAATTACGATATCAAGTTTCCTACCCGGTACCTGTCGTGTGACTTGTAAATTTACACTGGAGACGAACTTTAAATTTTGCCCCGCGGTAGTAGAAATGTGGCGTTAATGCACAGTTCCGCATCGCGTTTCTGCTTCAAGTCCGGTTCCGGTTTTTTTTTTAGAGAATTTAAGATGTTATCCTTTTTTTTACTTATAGCGTTGAAAAACGCCGTATTACTAACGGGCACTACAGAATTAGCGAAACATTCACCCCCCCCCCCTTTTTTTTCTTTACCAGTACCGAATTTTTTCAAATTTGTGAATTTCTGGGGGTAAACAATTTCCATCAGGAAAATTTATTTCTTCGTTTACAAAAATTCCCCTTGTTAATTAAAAAAAATTTTTAGGGGGGTGTTGGTTTCCCGTGACTCTTCGAAAGTCACTTAACATTACCCCCTGCTTTTATATAAACATTATTTTGTTTCCCTTTTTTTCATTCAGATCAAGGGGAATTTTCAAGGCTTTTCAAACGAAAGCTTGGGGAAAATATTAGGAAATTAATAATGAAGTAAGGTAACAAAGGGGTTTGTTTCATCCATTGGGGATCCAGAGGGGATTGGGTTATCATATGGCTTTTACTCTTCATTTTTGATCAGTAAGAGCGAAACGTTGTGGAAAAGCTTCTCGTGTTCTGCTTCACTGTTTCTTTAGGTAAAACCCCTGAAGTTATTTTTTCTATTTTATAGTTTGGGATTGGAAAAATAATTTTTTTTTCACTTCTTTTTACATCACGGTAATTTTTATCCCGCCTTTTTTTAAAAAAGTTTTAAATAGCAAAAGAAAAATCATATTTTTAGTTTTGATGAATTTTTTTATTAAGTTTAAATAATTTTTGGGGGGGATTTTTTTCTACTTAGGCTATTGTCCCCTGATGTCATTTAATGTTATGGCACTTGCCTGACCGAGAACCCCGGGGAGAGTTGTTGTAAACCTTTATTTCATGTGATGACCACTTCTCGCTTCACACAGCGAGGGGCCCGGGTTCGATTCCCAGCCCGATAGAAAAAATTGGGGGGTTTTTTTCCATGTTGTCTTTCCCCCTCAGTAAAATGGGTAACTGGGGTGGGGCGCATCCCGGGCATGACCAATTGCCCCACATGCGGAGATTTCAGGGGCTTTCTATATATTAGTATGTCATTGTTGTCAGCTAGGCCTGTATATCATGTACATGTAGTAAATAAAGATATTATTATTATTGTCACCTGGTCACAGACCGGGCCGCGGAGGCGTTGACCCCCAAAACCCTCTCCAGGTATATTCCAGGTATGTGAGCGGCGGAGGCTGGCAGGCCTCAGCCAGGCTGCTCAGTGTCCCTTCCGTCAGCGCCATGGTGGATAGAGGATTGCGAGAAGCATATGTTAGTCAGGAAACAGAACAAGTGTTTCCTGAATCGGGTTTTAGTCATATGATGACCCACAACTGGAGCTTTTGATCATCTGATGGAATACTTCCGCTGGCTTACCGGTCCACTTTAAAAATCATGGTTCAGTTTGCGAGAAGCGTCCCCTCCCTCAGGAGTGTGAGTACTGCCTACCGTCCTCTCGGTTGGTTTTGACCCTTCAAAGGCAGATGAGATTTCTTAGCGTTAGCAACCCAGGATAACCAAGAAAGTGTGTCCATCATCGAAGACTGTTTTATTTCCATTGTGGTCCTTGAATCGTGTCTCCTAGGATGCTACCCACACCAGTCGACTAACACCCAGGTGAACAGGGACAGCAGGTGTTTACCTGGAGTTTACCTGGAGAGAGTTCCGGGGGTCAACGCCCCCGCGGCCCGGTCTGTGACCAGGCCTCCTGGTGGATCAGAGCCTGATCAACCAGGCTGTTACTGCTGGCTGCACGCAAACCAACGTACGAGCCACAGCTCGGCTGGTCAGGAACCGACTTTAGGTGCTTGTCCAGTGCCAGCTTGAAGACTGCAGGGGTCTGTTGGTAATCCCCTTATGTATGCTGGGAGGCAGTTGAACAGTCTCGGGCCCCTGACAACTTATTGTATGGTCTCTTAACGTGCTAGTGACACCCCTGCTTTTCATTGGGGGTGTAAGGTGTAAGGAAATATGCCCAGCATTTCCACCCATGCCGGGGATTGAACTATGGAAACTGTGAGGCCAGTGCTCTGCCAACCAAGCCAAGGTTGAAAGGTGTTAAGAAACTGCATTTGTCCTGGGACTATTACGTAGATGGGGGGAGGGGATTAACTGCATCACTGCTCTCCGACAGATATACGACCAGGAAGATGTCAGGGAAGTATTTTCCCAGTCGAGTCACAGCTCCTGGCCCCGCGCGTGTATGTGAGAGAGCCAACAATTAATATTTGCACCAATAACTCAGTTGTGACCGGGTGTGGACGTTTGAATTGCTCATTACTCTATAATTTGTTCATGATTGTAGCCATGTATAAACGTAAGTAAAGTAAATTACTTACATGATTCACTACCTTTGTGCCTTGTTCAGCTATCAAAAATTGGGGGCCCAGTCCCTGGACCCATTATGTGCCTCTGTAATCTTTTGATTACCGCCCACAGGTTGGGTATGGAAATATAAACACATGCAGTTTAATGTGATCCTTTATTGACAACGTTTCGCCCACACAGTGGGCTTTTCAAGTCACAAACAGATCTGAACATTAAAATGGTATAAAATACCGACAGGTTTTTAGGTAAGGACACATATGCAACAGTTAGATATCTTTATTATGAAAACGTTTTGCCTACACAGTAGGCTTCTTCAGTCGAGTACAGAAAAGTTGATAGAAGCAGAAGATACTTGAAGACGATGTAATCAGTCCATCACCCTTAAAGTTTTGAGGTGGTCAGTCCCTCAGTCTGGAGAAGAGCATTGTTCCATAGTATGAAACAATATGGAGATGAAGTGACAAACAGATCTACCTGGGGTGGAAGGTACGCGAGTATTTATAGCCGGTTCAGAATGTTGAGGTCAGGTGGAGAATGCTGCATCTGATCTACCGAGTGGGATTATAGTCTAAAATCTTGGGTAGCTTGGAAGGGATTGGATAAGTTGTGAGCAACCTTTTGCAGTGTTCTTCCATTCC